GATCGTGCGGGATGAGATCGTGCGGGATGAGATCGTGCGGGATGAGATCGTGCGGGATGAGATCGTGCGGGATGAGATCGTGCGGGATGAGATCGTGTGCGCTAACGGTATCACACTCGCATCCCTCGGCTCGCGCAAACGACAATCCGCGACGAGATCGGGGATCTAACTGACGGGCAGCGTTCGCGACGAAAACAACAGCCAAGGCTATTGATCGCGCCACTGCGCACTCCACTGAGCCCGTGAAGGGTCATTAGAACATATAAGTATATGTCGGAGCCACGATAGCTCTAGAACTATATAGCCCTTCGCTCCGGCACAGCGAAGGGCTATAATTCTAGAGCTAGAGCCATGAATGACCTTCAGCCGAACGGGCTCAAGGTTATTAACGGGTGTGCTCTCACGACGCGGACTTTTTCAGTGCGACATTAATGGTTAGACAGGCGAGTGATGTACTTCATTCTGTCCTTGCTGCCCCGTCTAATTAAAATTTAAAGCTCGTGCGATCACTCGCACTTCATAGAGGGAAACCTGACGATAGCAAGTTTCAGAAGAATGTATTATTACACACATGCACGTAAGCACGAACGCACGCACGCACGCACGCACGCACGCACGCACGCACGCACGCACGCACCGCATGCAGGCAGACACTCACGCACGTGCATGCGTGCAGACACACGCACACATACATGCACGCATGCACGCACACACACACGCACACACAAAACGTCTCACTATCTCTCCATCATCTATACCACGATACGCTGTCGTAAAAAGCAACGATGTGTATCGACTACCCTACATGCCCTATATGCACCCACTGCCTGCTCGAAGCACTGCTAACAATTACACATATGTAGCGTAAACACGCGGCTTACTGCACAGGCCTTATATTCACTTCATACACGACTCTGCAATCATCCTGCTGGTGCACAATAATAATAATAATAAATATATTATATCATTATATCTTATGCGGTGCACAGCAATCCCCGAAATAGACATGGAGGTTGTTCGCAACATGAAAAGCAACACAAAGTAGAACGTATATACTAGTCGCCAAGTAGCTTAGACAGTCTACAAATTGGAGGCTTAAAAATTTGTGACAACTTGTGTCAATTAGCAGGCCCACATTAGAACAATCAATTGTGCCCTAGAAATGTTTACGATCTAGTGCGATTGTAGAATAGTGTCAGAATATTTAAACGTTTCCAGGGCGCAATAATTTATTGTTTTATTCACACATATGGACGCAGCATCAAAATTTCTTGTTTGTTTTCCAGAAAGATTCGATTTTACCAATATAATCCCACCTTCCTATTTGGTTTCTTCCTGTCCAGTGCATTTTATCGCTCTTGCACACTCTTTATCTACACCTTGTTTGATGGTGTCTCTACCTGCGAGCTCTACAAGAGATAGCAGGTTCTCCTCTCTCATTCTCTCTCGGTGTCCTCCCGTTTCCATGCAGAGACCTTGGCAGAATCCACACACTGCTTAATTACACCGAGATTAGGTCTGGCAGAATTTCCATAACTTTAAACTTGCGCAAATCCCTCCTTGTAGGACAAGCAATCGATTTTACTCAGCCGTAATAAGCCATGCTAGTTACTCGGTTACTCCCCGGGGATGCTAGCCAATATAGCCCATGGTCACACACCAGTAGGGGGCAGCTAGGCTACAACGCTGCATCACAGCCAGTCAGCAGATATATCGTTCGGCATAGGAATTGATGCGGGTGAAGCAATTTCCGTAGCCGCTGCGAAATCATTGAGTTGTAATTTGAGTTGTAATCGAGTTGTAAGCGATCAATTGTGATTTTTCTCGTGAAGCCTGAACCGATCATGTACAATTATGTCACATCTTTAAAACTATACAGTAATTGAAGATCCCGTCAGAATGGGTGTGCAATCTCGTGGCCCATACCCCCAGAATTAACACAACATTTCAGTGATGGGCCACTACAGAGGTGATTCTTTTTTGCAATTTGCTGCAATGCAGCAAAGTAATAAACCACAAACGTTACAAAGACAAAAAAAGTCTTTGCGGGTCAGCCATGTGACTGTCATTCAGTGAAAAAAATACACGGGGGCTCGGGGCGATTTAGCCCCCGAAATGTCAAAAAGAGCCCCGGAAATGCCAAAAAGAACCCCTGTAAATTTGCATAGAGTTCAATGCAAACCAAATTTTAGAGTGCTATTTTCATGCACGCGAGCTTGAAAAGTAGCACCCGAAAAATAAATTTTAATTTTTTCCCTGCTGTCATTGGCACATTGCACATTTGGAATTCATTTGTACGTGTACATATTATAGTATGTGTAATATAGTGCTTTATATCAGTAGTTTTAGTATCAGCTTCAATATGAAGTCTCCTGAATATAACATTAACAAGCCCTTTGTACATGTCGTATATTTACTTATACGTCACAGTCTATGGGTCCATCTTTAACATAATAGCTGCACTGAAATGCGCTTACCTTTCAGTGTTTTCAGCCGCTGACAGATTTCACTGACAATCTTTGAGTGAAGAAATAAATGACTGATAAGGAATATTCTACCATACATAAAACATATGTACCGTGAAGCATACGACGACCACAAACATTATGTAATGATCGAGGCTCTCATGCATATAAACTATAATGACAATCATAATCAGTAATTGTCATTAGAAAAGCAATCAGTGAATCACAACAATTAAAACAGATGTGAGGATTCGATAAGTGTGAGTATGCGTGTGTGTGGTGTGTGTGTGCGCGTGTGTGTGTGTGTGTGTGTGTGTGTGTGTGTGTGTGTGTGCGCGTGTGTGTGTGTGTGTGTGTGTGTGTGTGTGTGTGTGTGTGTGCACTATAATAAACTATAATGATTAGCATAATTACTAATCCACATTGGAAAACCAATCACAATTAAAACAGATGTGACAATTCTATAAGAATACATGTGATTGTGAGTGCGCGCGCGTGCGCCTGTGTGTGTGCATACTTGTATCATGTATGCACGGGTGTGGGCATGTACATGGGCGTTTGTGCCTGCGTACTATTCCGAAGTTCTTCTGACCAATGCCCACACCGATGACTTTTGGTGGATTTGGTAACAGTGGAGTGGACACTCGTCACTCGATACTGCCTGCTTGCATGCATCATTTATTTCCATATTTGTCTAATACACAGACCTGTTGGTGCCACTTCTTCATGCTATATCACTGTATTGGCTGACGTAACCGGCCTGAATAGCAGTTCTAGGCCGGTAGCTGATGCACGGGGCTTGCATTATTATTTATATTATACGTTAACTATGGACCATGGTAACGGTTGACGAGTGGCGTACGTGACACCGCCAGTCAGGACCCAGATGGCAGATTGTACGATCGACCGATCGTGACCGAGGCACTCTACTTCGCAACTTACCCATTAGCTTCGAGCTCGGTATTGCCTGCGCCAGATGTCTGAACAAAACGTTTAGCGGAATTTATTAGGCTTCCTCTTTGATTCGATAACAGCAACCTCGTTATGCACTTCATTATAACGTAGATTTCCGGCAAAAGGCGATGTAGATACTGAGATAGGCGTGATGCTGTACCATCAACAATATGACCTACAAATTTACAACCAATCAGCAGCTGTATAGCTGTCGTAGGATTGCGCGCCAATAGAAAAATCTTTTGCGACACGCAGATCAGCGCATGCTCGCTCGGCAAAGTTCATGATGTCACGGGTTTTCATTCCGCAGTCGGTACTGCGACAGGTAATGCGAGTCTGCGACAGGTAGCCATACGTACGGTACGTAACACTAACATACAGTTGCGGTTTATAGAAACAACTATTTAACCCAACGGAACGATGTTTTCAAAGGCGGGGTCAAAGATCGTACGTGTAAGTTCATAATTTAATCTCGTAATACTAATAGTAACTCTTCAGAGGAACAGAAAGTAACTTTTCCATTCCCATTGGCATTGCAAAGCGTTGATTGATATGATTCTGTGTCCTGTCAACGTCGGTGTGTATAGTTTTGTGACCCAGGTAAAAAGTTCTGGCATTCATATCTACGATAATAGTGAATACTATTCTATCATTATTATTAATAATAGCCGCTTCAGTTTAGGCTTCACATTAAATTAGGTACCGAATTGGTTAAGAATTAATAAATTTAGCAATCGGAGTTAATTTTAATGCTCGAAGCCCGGCGAGTGGTGTGTGTCAAAATCGCGCACGTTGACATTGCAGGGCGACGCCGCCACCGAGCAGAAGATGTATCACCTCGCCGCGTACCTGGCGCCGTTCACGATTGCAACGAGCACCTACTTCAACACGTTCGTCCACGAGACGTACCCGTCGTTCACGTGCGCCATCTTCCGCTGCCTGCCCGTCTCCGCCCTCGTCGTCTTCGTGCTGCTCTGCCGGCGGCGCGGCACCGCTGCAGCCAGCGCCACCTACAGCGCGCGCATCGTCGCCGGTCTCTGCTGCTCGGTCGTCGGCGACGCGCTGCTTACGTATATATATAACACTTAATCCAACCATAGGTGGACAGTACCAAAAACTAGTGTCATACGTAGACATTTTCCATACGTTAATATACAGTACTGCACAGTAACACAAATGCAATTTCTGGAAATAGTACATCTATATTAGTGCTTTTAGGGGGTATAGACAGATATTTGTTAAAACTATTCAAAGATAGATATACAAATATATGTCTACTTAAGTATGTCTACCTAAGGCACTTAAGGATACTGACTGTCTACTTAAGGACTGATTTCCCATACGGACGTATATATGACACTTTTAGAAAATGTATTCTTATTTCTTAATAACACATTTAAGCTTTATCATATTTAAAAATGTTACAGGTCAATAGAGTGAGGACACCTCTACTAGATAAACATGACATAATTATATATTTCATGAAGAAAACGAAGTTAGAGCATGCATGCTAAACATTAGGTAGACAGCAAATATGTCTACCTAACGGCTGGTTTTTTACACCCGATGTCTACATATGGTGGGATTAAGAGAGATATATATATATATATATTGTAGTTGCTGGATAATTTCTGCTGCCAGACAACTGTGCGCAATATATATATAAAGTATAGATGAACAGATATAGAGCTCTGTGATGAATTCTCGTCACAGACAGGAAATCAATCGCGATCATAACACCCACGCAATGCCCCCCCCCCTGCAGTACTTTCACAATACATTCACAACACCCCGCTAACACCTCCAATATTCTCCCAACACACATGCAACGCCCCTGCAGTACATTCACAATGCATTCCCAACACCCTGCCAATGCTACCAATATTTTTCCAATACCACCCATGCGATGGCTCCGAAACCCTTCACAAAATAATACCCAGGCGATGTCCCAGAAATGCCATCACAATACTCGATGCAACTCTACGCCCTAAGCCTCCTGGGGCCTGCATCCCTCCCCCCAACTGACCTGACCTTGACCTCGTCACTGACCTTGGTGAACGCGAGGGTCATCGCGATGCGGCCGCCCATGCTGTGTCCGACGAGGGCACCCCCTAACTGACCGTGACCTTGACCCCGTCACTGACCTTGGTGAGTGCGAGGGTCATCGCGATGCGGCCGCCCATGCTGTGTCCGACGAGGGCACCCCCCTAACTGACCGTGACCTTGACCCTGTCACTGACCTTGGTGAG